AGAAACACAATTCCAGACACTTCACTTAAGAATTGCAATAAATGACAATTCACTTTCATGACAGTGTAATAACTTAGGGTTCAAACATTTTCTACATGCCATGGTATGGGTGAAATTTGACAAAAAGCCCAACACTCAATCATTCCAGATTGAACAGCAATCTGTTGTCAAGGTACTTCTTCATGAATATGCATTTGCTGAATGTTATTATTTAATAACTCATACAATTTATTACTTATAGTAAAAAGAATTACAGGAATATATCATTTTAACCTTATTACCAAGACAAGGGGGCTCTCAATAAAATGACAATTGGCTGAGAGAGTGATACAAAAGAACAAGATCTTTCCTGCTTTCACTATCACTATCACTAGCAGTCTATAATATTTTTTTTTATAAGTGACTGCCAATGGTGGAATTGGTGGTTATGACTACAAAAGGGACCATGCAAACCATAACAATGAATCCCTGCAGCACTGTGTCTACTGAGTTATGAAATCATCACAATATCAGCTTTAGGTCTTGTAGCAATGTGTTCTCCACTCTCTTATGGGAGTAAAACAACAAACATTGCATCCTCTGATATCACTGGGCAACTCTCCATCTCTCCTGTGACTTACAAGGTACATGACAGAAGTTGATATCCAAAACTATTCCTCTGTCCCTTTCATTGGCTGTTCTGACTGGCTGTCATCTAATAAAGATGATCCTATTATTTCCTTCGGAGTCTCTTCACAAAAGTAACCTCATCTTTATTTTGAATGCCATAGCTGCAATGAGAAAAAAATTTGATAACATTAAAAACTAATAAAATAGCATAGTCAGTCAAGATAAAAAAAAGTATGAAAATTGCAATAGAAATGACATTAATTCCTATTATTTCAATCTTAAGGATTTTTGGCCTATTGAGGCACCTTAAGTGAAATTCTCAAAAAAATGTTAAAAAATTTTTGAGTAAGTTAAGTTCTAGAAAAATTGTCTGCTAACTTCAACTACATGTATGCTCTTAAATAACAGTTCCATTTCTCAATCACAGCAAGGAAAAAGAAAAGTTGAAAATTTCTCAGTTTACAGGTGATGAGCTTAGTAATGGAACTGAACTTCTCAAATACTTTAAAACATTCCTTTTTTGACAGACGACACAAGCAAAATAAAATGTGGAAGCACTGAGTCTGTAAAAATATATGTCTAGCAAAGAAATTAAAACCACTAGTTTACATTCATGGCATTGGTTCATATTTCTTGACTGGAGTATTTTTTGACGCTGTGATTAAACATTTTGATCTCTATGGTTTTGGTTTTACTGGTAACTTTTTTTGCCCAATCATCAGTGTACATGTACATATTCTCTGTACTGTTCTTTACACATTTCCTGAGGTGTGGACCAGGAGAATTTTTGAAAAATCAACATTTTCTTTAATTGGTGATCATTTCCTATATTCTCATGACCTTTATGTTTGATTCAAGGGTGAAACTGTAAGGAGAAATACGATGTTAGTCACTCTATGGAGTAAAAGAGTCAAAACATTCTATCAAAATACTGTTTAATACTACATCACTACTTCTTCTGTTAACTTACTATG